AAAAAAAAAATGAAAAATAACCAACAGCAGTAGCGGCCTGAAGGACAGGGGACCTCCGCTCCCGCATCCAGGCAGCATGACGTCTGGCCACCAATCATAGCACACGCTACCGTGGCCACGTGACCCGCCTCACCTATATCCGGTCACGTGTCTGCCACATCCGGCCACCGTCAAGTTTTACTGTGTAGTGTGAAGTGCTTAATTTGTTGAACGTGTAAACACTTAAGCTACTGTAATTTTATAAAAACCTTGTTTGGACATTTATTTTTCTTTTGGGCCTGGGAGCCTCAAAATTTACAGGTGCCTCTTTACGCCTGTGTAAGGCCCCACGTCTCTCCGGGAACGCGAGCTTGTGGGCCTTTTCGTTGCACACCTACCGCAGGTAGTGTTGACAGTGACTCGTACATTCTTCTGCATATACTGCCTGGGGGTCCCCACACGGATTAATTAACCTCTCTGACACAGGGGCTCATCTGTAAAACGGGCAAACCATACACGCCACTCTTAGCATCTGCGAGCCGGTATCCCCGCCACCTGGCGCAGGTGAGCGCTAAAGAAGTGTCGGCAATGGTTGCTCATCCAAAGTGTGATTCCCACGTGGGCTGTGGGCCCCGGGACGCAGGCGCCCGGCGGCCCCGGCCTAGGACGTGCCTGCTCGCGGAGCGCGGGCGGTAGTGAGCGGTTACCGGCTGCAGCGGAGGCCCAGCCCGATGGAGGCGTCTGCCGCCCTCAGGTCGGCGAGGGCAGGAGGGGCGCGGCGGGGCCGGCGGGCGCTCACCGATCTCCACCTCCACCTCCACCTCCTCAGGCACCACCGTGCGGCAGACGAAGAGGGCGGAGGCGGTCTCCTCCTCGCTGGTCTGGTTGAGGAAGTGCAGGATGACGTCCTCGGCCTCTCCGTCGTTGCGCGACAGCAGCTCCTCGAACAGCTGAGGGTCGGTGAGGTCGAAGGCCTTGTACACGCGGTCGCGCATCCACAGCACCCGCAGGTCGTCCATGGCGCCGCGAAGGGCTCCGCTGCCCGCCTGAAGACGCGGAGTTCCGGGCGGGCGTCCCTGACAACGACGCCCTTAGCAACCGACGCCCCGGCAACGGACGCCGTCAGCACGCTAACGCGCCGGCGCAGCGCCGCAGCGTCCTGGAGCAGCCGGGGCCTCGCGTGCTCAGGGGCGCGGCCGGCGACCTCGCGGGGTGGTGCCGAGGGACCGGGCGCCCCAGGTCGCTGGTCCTGAGGAGGAGGGCGCGTGCGGCCAGGGGCTGCGACCGAGAGCAGACGAGCCACGCCCAGCACCTGCCGTGTTCCCGCTTGTGCAGCGTCACCACCCGTGTGTGCATCTGCTCTGCCCACAAGGAAGCCAGGAGGTGACCAGATGATGGAGGTCACACCGCCTCTCAGCAGTGACGGGCAGGATCAAAACCCAGACAGGGCCACGGTCTGGGTCCTCAGCCACCAGGGCCGGAGGGTGTCAGAGGAACAAATACAGTACAGGGAGGGTCAAGGAGGGCGCCCCTCCTGCTGTGGCACGGCGTCAGAGGAGGACTGAGTTCTTCGGCTCTAGCCCAGCCAGGGCACAATGAGGCACAACACCCACATTTTAAAAATATACATATTTATTTTTAATTAGTAAAGGCAAGTTCAATACTGATAGGAAGCAGTTTGTCCTTTCATGCATTTGTAAAACCAAATACTAGCCTGCCCCTAGTTCCCCTCACAGGGACCTGAGCCCAGAACACTACGTTGACCCTAAAAATACCAGCCTCCTTCTGAGTTTTTCCTCCAAGGAACAAGCGGAGATGTTACAGAGTGACTTGTGTCCCCCAAAAAGAGTTGAGTCCTAACCTCTATGCCTGTGGTTATAATCCCTTTTGGAAAAAGGCTTTGTTAGGTTCATGAGACAGGACTGGTGTAGGGAGTATCTTGAATCTTTCTCTTTTGAGGTGGAAAAACATTACAGCAGCAAGCGAGTGAACAGAGGGGAAGACAGATGCCAAGCCACATGATCACCCAGGAGCAGAAACAGGGAGACAAGGCCCTTCCTGAGCTGACAGGGCAGAAAGCCCAGCACTCTGAATTCAGACTTCTAGCCGCCTCAGCTGTAAGAGATTCAGTTTCTATTCGTTAAAGCCATCCACTTGTGCTGTTTATACCAGCACTTGACCACGAAAACAGGAATCTAAGAAGTTTCTACAATTCTAACCCTACATTCATTGGAGGAAACGCTATTACTCCAAACCTCCTTGTCTTGAGATTTCTCAGTAGTCTTGGTGGAGATACACCACGTGACACGTAAGCAATCTTGGCTTTCAGAAAACCTGACAGAGAAACTTGTTTTTACATGTGGACTGCAGGACAGCTGTAGAAGTTAACTCTCTGCTTCCATCTTCCAACATGAATCAGGCCCTAAAGTGCCTGAATATCTCACTCAGAAACACTGTAACATTTACCTATTGCATCGATATTCTATGCTTAAAATTCTGCAGATTGAAAATTGAGTCCAGAATGTTGTTATAAAATCCCCATGCCAGCTGTGAGGGCAGCGAGGCACTCGGTGACAGCTCTCTGCCAAGTCCTCTCAGAGGCGGAAAATCCACAAAGTTACCTATTAGAACACCCTTTGTGCTCCTGGGCCAATCACGATGATGTCACCCAAGGATGGTCTCCATCCTGGCAGACTGAAGGCAAATTCTGTTGTACTTAAAAAACTTCTCAGGGTTTTTGCTTTCTGACTCCATTAACACGTGGCAGAAAACCTCTGAATGAAAACTCAAAAACATGGCCAGCAAGCCCTTTATAAGAAAATAAGCAGGTATTTAGTATCATCCAGACAGCTGGTATTTGTCCTCTGGATATCTGCCACCAAAGAAATGAAGTATGTCTTAAGAATTGTGTATATACTTTAGTTGTGTGTATTTCACTGTACATAAATTATATTTCCATAAAATATATTTAAAAAAAAAAAGAGTCATGTATATATATATAATAGTTCCAACAAATGGCTTAAAAAGCCAAAAACAGAGCAACCTTTCTGACACCATGACACTGGAACTGACACTTTTATAAAGTAATAAAATTTCCTCTGGTGCGTAAAAGACATTATCAAACCAGACTTCTTTCACAAAAGTTAGGATTAATTCGTGTTTTCATATAATTACACTCTACATAAGTGACTCTTCACTCTGCTCTGTGCCCTGCTAAGAGGTATAAACTACAATTACAAAGTGGCCCTGTGACAGTTACCAGTAGGGGCTGGTACAGAATTCCTGAGGATACGTCGTGTCTCTTGTTGACAAGCAGTTGAAAGTGCCCAGAAAGCCCGGGTTTCCTGGACAGGATGGAGTTACCGTCACTAGGACAGATCCCTGGCTGATTTTAGGGAAGACAGCCTAAAACCTCGGCGGCTTTCCTGGCGTTGGGTATTCACCAGAAGATGTGATCACCGCTGTACCTTTGTGGGGAGGCTGAACTTGGAGAACAGAATCCCCTCCAAGATGATTCCAGGGTCTTGTGAATGATGTTTTTAACACGAGGAACGGAAAGAGTAAACGCAGACGGCCTCTGGCCAACCTCTCAAAAGTGGCAAGGAGGAATCTTTACTATCAATACAAAGGGTTAATCTTAGGGTCACAGTTCTGTCCTAGGATGTTCAGTTCATGCCTCTCCGCAGACAGGCTTTGAAGTTACCTGGAAAGATGTATTTCATATCTGTGCTAGCATGAGATCCAAGTGCCAAACTCAACCAGCATGAGGAAGTGTGGCAACAAATGGCTCTTTCAATATGGATTATGTGTTGCTCAAAATTTTAAGCACATGAAAACAGTTTAGGCTTTATCTTGAAAATAACTAAATAATGAGCTGCCATTAAAGTAAAATAGGAAAACTGAACACAGTTTGTAAGAACACAGATCAGATTGTTCAAGAGGCATCAGACTCACTCTATATAGCAAGCAAATTAGCATAGTTAAACTAAAGGGTATAAATTAATAGCTTAATAAAAATAGTTTTCAGATGATCTAAATAGTGTCTGAAAATTTGAATTCACTCTAAATACAATAATCAGACCTTTATTTACAACTAGTCTGAATGTAAAAAATTGTATTTACACTGTTCGCAAGCACAGATGCCAACTCTTCATGGTAAAATATCTTAATTTATGTTTTCTGTATAAAAATATACAAAATACTACTGTCTGCCTTCCCTTCCTCAGAATGCAGCCTTCTGGCTCCACAACATCAGCCAAGCCGGGCAGCAGGTCACCTTGTATCTCCAACTTACCTTGGACGGTCTCACTGGGTTTTAAGGCTCAGCATACAATTTATCTTTTAAAATACACAATTATCATAATTGGTCTTCTCTAAGGATAACAGGGTAAGAGTCTTTAAAAAAATATACAAATGGCAAAACCATCTGTTCCATGTTATTTTATCCTGTTTCCCCATTCTTAAAACAGACAAAATTGTAAAAACAATCCTCTATTTGCAGTTCTAGGTAGCATATGATGAAAAACGTTTGCATATTTTTAATCAAGCAGAATGTGAATTTTGTGATTATCCGTCATTACATTTTAAAAAAAAACGCCATGTTTCTTTTTCTGCAGCAGCTGGGAAGTATTACCTGCCAACTTCAGGGACAGAGGAACTCTTGTCTGTCAATAAGGTGAAAGGAATCCAGTATCTAGGACCATTTCCAACTTGCCATTGGAAATTGGCTGGTCTTCCTCAACCCTGTATTTTTTAAAATAACTTTAACATAACAGTTGGCATTACCTTATGTTTGCTCATCAAAAAACCAAAAGAAATTTATGTATCTGAAATTTACAAACTATTTCACAAGTGAAGAAGAGGTATATATGTCACAGAATTATTTGGCTGTATCATAAGGCAACCGAGGAGGTGAGCTTTTCCCCTTCATCAACTTGACTGACGTGGAATTCTCTAACATGATATTCTCCACAGATCCAAGAGTGTTGGTTACAGCAATACAATCATGCCAGGTTGTCATGACTGAACTTTGACGAGAGCAGATTAAATGAGAAGGGAACAAATTTGGTGCCTGCACCAACGTAGAATTTGTTCTGGAATTCTACCCTAAAAAAAAAAAATAAAAAATATGTTGTAGCAAAGATTGTGGAATAATATTTCCTTCATTTCTTGAAGTAACATCTGTAAGTTCAAGATCAGACAGTTCCTGCACTGTAATTACTTCATTCTGGACATGCTCTTGACAGATCATTTTTACTCAATCAACTCCTACCCTCCTTGGCTTCCTTCATGGGGGACAGAACGTCATGGCCCCTCACACATGACCAGACATATGGAAGGAAAAAGTACGCATGACTAACAAGAGCCCCTCTCTGCATGCAGCAAACTAGAAACGCAAACCCATGATGTCACAGATGCTGTGAAACAAGAAGTACTGAGCACTTTTTAGTACTAAACACTAGTGAGGTATTACGGAGTGCTTTATAATAAGATAAGGCGATTTGTCAAGGCCCAAAGAGTAAGCCCCAGTACGAAACACATGTAATTATTTGGTGTGGTGGTTAAGTTTTTGTGTCAACTTGGCTGGGCCTGGTTGAGTGGCTGGGCAGCTGGATGTAGTATTCCTCATGATGAGACTGGTAATCAACTCCATGGTGGAATCTACTGTGAGCAGCTGAGTAGCTGCCTTTGGGTACGTGGTCTGCTTCCTATATATAACCAGGAGCTTTGGGAATGGTCTCGAGCCTATGGCATGCTTGGACCCTGCGTGTAGCCGTGTCATTGTTCAGCAGCCTGCTATGTTCTGCCGACCTTGGGACTTACAGTGGACTAAATTAATGGCCTGCCGTGTGTGGATTGGTAACATCAGGACTGTGCCTGCCTTTTTATTTGTCAATCTTGGGTTGTCAGCCTCAGCAGCCAGGAGCTGTCTGAGTGAAGAAATGCCTCTCGCTCCAATGGGCTGGGAGCAGGAGGCAGAGCTGGACCCCAAGGTTAAGGGGCTTTCACTCAGCCCCAAGAGCCTGGCACTTTGAACTTGGATTTAAAGCCTCCAAATTGTAAGAATAAACTCCTGTTTGTTAAGGCCGTCTCATTTGTGGTATATTTCTCATTAGAGCAGCACTAGGGAACCAGAACACTCGGCAAGCATAAGCCCGCTTTTATGCTGGTGGTAACAACTGAATAACAAATGCGGTTTTAACTCAGAGGACCTGCACCTATACCCCAGTGCGAGGAAAGGGAGCGTTCACCTAAATTCAGCAGGGCATTCTGGTAGAGATCTTCTTTTCTAAACGCCCAATCCCACAGCCACCTTTCAGACTCACCAGTGGAGGCGTATGGCATGAAGGAAAGCAGACAGCCCTTCCATGACCAAGAGGATGAAAATGGTTAAGACGGCGAAGAACGCGATGACGGGCAGCAGCAGCAGGACGCCGTAGGTGGTGTCCACGCGGAGGCCCACACGCATCAGCATGGCCCACAGCACGTCTGACAGCTCTGGGGGTGGAGTGGGTGCCAAGTGAGCCTCTGCTTCCATTCACTGAGTCACCCCCATCATCTCTCCTCTGAGAATTCTCCATTTTCACCCCATAAAATAATATAAACCTTACAAAACACGTGTGATCTCATTCTCATGTAAAAGTTAACCATCTCTCTCATCATCTTGGAGACACTGAGGAAGACCTGGAGTTCTGGAAAACTCAGAAGCCCACCTCCTACAAGAGATGCTGACCAAAACTGGTGGCCAGTTAGCCCTGGACGAGGATGCGGGAAGCCTGGTTTCAAGTCCAGGCTCTGCCACCACCTCATCACTGGGGAGATCCTGGGTGAAGCACATACACTCAACGGGCGTCTAGTTCATCCCTAAAATGAGGATGATCCCTTCCAGTCATAAAGTCTGACCTTCCACTATGCTTACAGAAGTATCAGTGAGATCGTGATTTCGTAACAACCTGTGTAGTACAGGCAGTTGTCGCCGTACACATAGAGCAGCAGTGTGCGACCGTTCCAGCCAAAACCATGCAACGTGGGCTCAAGAACCAAGGGGAAAAATGACGGGTGTTCCATGACTTTTAACAATTTTGTCTAAACATTAAAGACCCCCTTACTAACAGTTATAAACGTCTAAGGAAATGAAACAACAGTAAATCTATTTTAAAAATGTTATCACTGAGTATTACAGTATATTTTTTAGGGTAGTTTGCACAGCATTTGCCTTCCTCTCACAAAGCTTCTGACGGAGTGAGCATCTGTCGTGGGCCTTGGGCGCACTGTCACACTCTTCTCTAAGACTGGGTCAGATCAGCTCCCAACACTGTATCCACTGCACTTGAATATCCTGAACTCTACTGCATCACCTTCCCTGGGACGTCTTCATGTTCTTTGTCACAGCCACCTCCTGCCTTCACTAAGTTCCTCTGGCTGTACCTCTAGTGACTCCAGAACGAGGAGTCTACATGCCCACGGCCAGCTTCTTCTAGAACGCCATTATGTTTGGTTCAATTTTCACTTCCTACATCATCTCTTTTCATGTTTTTGATGCACTTTCACCTTTGTTGGCCACACCCCCTTTTGATGATGTCTGTGAATTGAGTAGCAGATGTGTGGTGACCCATCACCGACAGTTCACTGATCACGAAGCACGTGTGTTATTTACATAGTGATCTGTGGTCTGAAGAGCCAGCAGCAGTGTGTGTACTTCATGCCCTTACTGACGGTGAATAACTCGTGCTAACTGAAATAGGAACCGTGCTGTTGGGCACGGGCGCTGTTTAAATCACGGTGGCTGACATTTGTGCTCATCGGCACCGTGGAGAGGGAGGACCATCTGGAATCAAGCTGTTACTCAACTTGTTTCAGGACTCGGCTAACATCGATGAATAGTAAGGGGGACTTTTCAACGCAGAAGTGGCAGTGACAAGAGGATAAAGAGACGTTCCAGGGAAACAATGCTGGCACAACTCTCGTGGAGATTTGCACATATTCCAAGTTCAATACACAGTCATGCCAGGACCAAATAAAATAACAGTAACAACAAACACAAGGAAGACAGCAGAGAGAGCTCAAGTGTCTATGCCAGAGTTTCCTACACGTGTTAGTTCCCGAAGCCCGTAGTGCCTCGAGAAGCCTTCAGTGTATCTGAGGCCAAAAGAAATACTCGAGAGGTGTGCTTATTAAGAAGTTCAAACAACATAACAACACTAGTGCACATGGTATCTGAAAGGTGGCACCGTGTCTCTCTTAAACATTGAAACTGTCCCACGTGCTCCTTAGGAGGGAGCGGTGGTGCTGTGCGGGCCCTCAGCATGCAGTCTGGGGTAGCGGGGTCAGCAGACACTCACGTGCATGAGCCAGGCTGAGTGCCCAGAGCCTCAGGTAGGAAGCAGTGTTGGAGATGCAGCCAAGACAGTATTCGATGGAGTGAATCACCTGGGTCATTAATATTTCTCCAAAATTAAACTGAGAGAGAGGACACAACAGGTGTTAGACGCTTTATATTAAATGCATATTCTACCCTTCACAGAACCTGAGGAGGCTGCACTAGACAAATTGGAACTGCCACACTGCCACCACCTTTAGATACCCCAATGAGGTTCTCAGTGACTCAGAAAGTCTACTGTAAAAATAAACATTTACCAACCACAGATTGGAGGAATATGAATAAATGCACATTTAATAAATAGGAACATTCAAAGTATAAGCCCACAGGTGGGAACACACAAGGGGTCCTGACAGCAACAAGGCTGCTCACCACTGGACCAGGAAGATGTGGGCATGCTTTCCGGCCCTGCTGGTACAGTTTCCACAGCCCTGTGGAATTATCAGTAGTTGTTCCAAGTTAAAACACTAGACTGCACAGCCATTGGTCCAGACATGTCATGTGACCCTAGCCAGGCCAATCATAGTAATTAGCAAATGAGCACATTTGTCTCTGGTCGAAAGACTGAAGAAAACAAGCCCAGAGATAGCTGTGGCATGGTTCTAACATCCTGGAGACAAATGGTTTAAGAACATAATGCAAGCTTGCAACGAGAAGCCCTCTTGGAGTTGGAGACCCAGGAACCAGACCAACTCTGCTTGAATGGAGGCCAACTCTACTTTCATCCTGACACAAGCCAGTGTACTTCCTTTGAAGACAGTGTCAATTGGGTCTCTATTCCTTCCAACTACAAAAAAGCTCTGCATTATATTGGAATCTGAAAGCAATGTTCATGGCACCTTCAATCACTTAATTTCATGACTCGTGATGTTAACACAGCATTGATCAATCACCCTATAAAAGGTAACAAAAAGATATTAACTCAACACTCTACTATATTTATGACACCAATTTTCTTATCAAATCAACACTTGGAAAGTCCTGAGTAACAGGTTATTTCATCTTCAATTATGAATTCTTCTTCTTCTTTGATGATTATCTCTAAGGGCACCCACTGGGCTTGCCTAAATCAACAACAACGAAAAGATTACCTCCTCGTTGGTCACTTCTCGACACCCATCCTCCATTTGGGTATTTCCCTCCTCGATATCTTGGCTTCCCAGCAGAGACACTTCCTCCTCACTGTCTTTCCTCACAAGCGTGTAACCACTCTAAAGCAACCAGAAGAGGCAGGGCAGGGTCAAGGCCTTTCAGTCATAGGTTGTGACGAAACCTAACTCGTAGTCCCTACCATTGCTCTTCATGATTTGGCTTTTGGGGAATTAAAAGGGTTCTTGGGAAGGAAACGAAGAACTAGACATGTAGGTGAAGAGTCCAGAAAGGAAGTCAACAAAAATAATCACAGTGGTGGGATTTCACACTTTTTGCTGTGTTTTCCACATTTTTCAGTGTGATTCTTTAAATAAAACACTTTAGATTAAAAAAAAGTAAGAGGCAAGAATAAGGAAAAAGTTTTTAATTGTGGTATCCTGTCTCTAAGAATTTAGCTAAAACTCCAGGTCAGCTTGTTGTCCGTCACAGCAGGACCTGTTTCCTTCCGCACGCCCAGAGCACGGTGGGCTGCAAGCAAGGACCTGCACTGCAGGCAACACCCCACCCAGTTCAAAGGAAAGGAAGCTTGGCCTTTCCAAGCACGGGAGCAGGACCCTCAGACAGGGGAAAATGGAGGTGGCTCAGTTTCCAGAAAGGCACCTGATGAACACTCACCCTGCTCACTCCAAAACAGCTGCGCCCGTTGTGCAGCCATAACAGGAAGAGGGGCTTCCCCAGGAAGAGGACGGGGACAGACAATGCCGTGACCACCAGCAGCAGCCTCTGCACGTGCTCCTGTTCATACAGAGACAACAGTTAGAAATGCAAACTGGCTCACAGTGCACTGCATTCAGTGAGTGGAATAAAGTGTCTCCTTATGTACTAGCAAGGCACACACAACAATGTCAGCTAAGTCACAGCTGTCAGTCGATGTACTCTCCTTCCATTCTCTAAACTCACAGCTGAATTCTAGAATTAAGGAGCAGCATGCACAGGGCTGTGATGCTACAAAGGTGTGAGATCATCCTGTGACAACCAGTAAGCAGTCCTAGGAAATTCTAAATGCAATCAAATGTCCAGCTAATCATTCCCTAAGAACACTGGAAATGGGAAAGTACAAACAGAATTTTTTTTTATTCTTGTTTTCTTGTTTGTTTTTTACTATAAAGACTATCTGAGACACATGAGCATGCTGTAAATGGACTTTACTTCCACACATGAAAAGTACTGAAATACCCTTCAGAATACAACCAAAGCATTTTTTTTTCTTAAAGAACAAGCATTTGTAGTTCCATAAAAACTGGTTCAGGAGCAAAACATATTCCTTCTTACACAGCCGCTGCAGTGTGTGTACCTGACACACAAAGCATACACTACAGATACTACACACACTGCATACATTACATGCATGGCATAGTTACATGCATTGCACACACAGCATACACATGACATGACTTACACTACATACACTGCACACATCCCATACACTGCATACTTTATACACATCACATGCATTATATGCATATCACATACATTATACACACTGCACACATTACACACACTACACATATCACATATACCACATATACCATAAGGCCACTGAGGCTGTGAAACCAACCAGACAGATCATTCAGAGGTCTTTGCTCCTCCTGAAACTAAGCACAGTTTGTCTGTGCTCCCCTGAACGTCAGCTCAGATATAAGAAGCCCCACAAAGCAGGGAAGGGAACCTCAGGCAAAGCCCACAGGCAAACTAAGGCCCAAAGGGGGCTTGCTGGGTGTGGGCTTTCTGGCTAAGAATGTGATTGCAGAAACAGGGAAGGGAAGGGAATGACAGCCAGAGAGGGGATGCCACCCCCTGGCAGGAAGCTTGATTAGTATACAATACCTCACCTGAGTGGCAGTGCCCATTAATGGACAGACTGACCAAAGCATGTTCTCTGGTGTGTTCAGGAGAGACTGGAAGTTGAAAAACAAGATCTGGAATTTTCAAGTACGAATTAAACCAGGGAGGGAGAAGGAGCTATCACAGAGAGGGAGAGGAAACAGTAAGCAAAGGCCAAGGCTCTGCCCACCTAAGAGTTTCTTACAGAAAGCAGTGCAAATAAATACACCAAACACTGGGGAAAACTGAGAAAGTTAACACGCTCCAAAATGCCAACGCCCCAACAAATAATTTCACAAGACGCACAAAAAACAGAGAAACAATGGCCCATCCAGATGAACATGACAAAGCGTAAAAGTGCATCTGAAAACAAGAAAGTGCATCTGGGGATCACCAAATAATGAAAAAAATGGAAGAAAATAACACAACATCATTAAATATAATTAAAGAGCTAAGGGAAAACATAGACAAAGGGTCAAAAGAAATAAGGAAAACAATACAAGAACAAAATGAAGATCTAAAAAAAAGTACTGTAACTGAATAGGAAAATAACTGAAAGGAGAAACACAACAGAGAACTTAGAAACAGATTTCATCAGGCAGAAGAATGAATCAGCGAATTAGAGGATACGATAGTTAAAATTACAGATACTGAACAGCAACAAAAACAGAGGCTTAAGAAGGATAAGGATAGTTTAATGGAATTATGAGACAACAACATGAGACCTACTATATGCATCATGGGAATTCTAGAAGTTGAGAGAGAGAACGGAACAGAAAGAATGTTTGAAGGAATAATGACAGAAAATATCCCCAATCTAACAAAGGACATGAATCTATAACTCCAAGAAGCTCAAAGAACCCCAAGAGAATAAAGAGATTTACATTAAGACACATTATAGTTAGGCTCTCAAAAATCAAAAATAAGGAGAGAGAATCCTGAAAACAAAGAGAAGCAAGCAGTTATACACAAAGGATTCCCAATAAGATTAAGGGCTAACTTTTCCTCAGCAACACTGGAGGCCAGAAGGTAATGTAAAGATGCACTTAAAGTGCCGGGGGAGGGGGGTTCCTGTCAATCAAGAATCCTATACCCAGCAAAACTATCCTTCAAGAATGAGGGTGAAATTAAAACATTCCCAGACAAACAGAGGCCAAGAGAGTTCATATCCACAAGGTTTGCTGTTGGTGGTGGTGCTGTCGAGTCGTTTCCAATCACCATAGCGACCCCATACACAGCAGAACGAAACACTGCCCAATCCCGTGCCAGCTCCATGATTCCTGCTATACTTGAGCCCATCATCACAGCCATCATGTCAATCCATCTCGTTGAAAGCCTCCCCCCCTCTTTCGTCGACCCTCCACCGTACCATGCATGACATCCACAAGGTTAGCCCATCAAAAAAGTAAAAATAAAAATAAACTAATAGAAGTTCTGTAGATGAAAGGGAAAAGACCCTAGAAAGCAATTCAAAGCTATACATAAAAAGAAAGATCCCTAATAAAGGGAAATGTATGGACAAGGATAATAACTAGTAATAAAGTATTCATACTTGATAATTCTAAATGTTTTGTCCTTCATGTTTTTGTAATAACAAATACATAAAAGGTAAGGGCAAAATTATGTTACAGGGTATATGAAATACAAAGACCTAATTAGTGATTATGTCTTTACAACAAAAGGGAGGGGAAAATGGTATAGATACAGAATCTCTTGTGTATTATTGAAGTTATATTGGTACCAACTTACCTTAGGTGTTATAAATACAAGCTCTTAAATGTAAATTCATGGTAACCACTAAGGAATTATATTAAAAATATACAAGGAAAGGAGAAGGAAACCAAAAAGGCTCACTATAGTAAAACAATAAAACACAAGCCAGCAACACTAAAGGACAAAGACAAAGAAGGGTTAAGACACAAAAACAACAACAAAATGGCAGAAATAATCACTTCTTACAAATCAGTGAATGTAGAAGGACTAAATATTGCAAGCAAAAGGCAGACAATGGAAGAATGGATCAAAAAACATGATCCAACTATAAGCTGTTTACAAGAGAAATCGTGCATTTCTTAGAGTAAAATGAAAATGAAATCACAACATATCAAAATGTATAGGATGCAGTAAAGGCAGTACTCAAAGGGAAATTTATAACAGTAACTGCCTATATAAAAAAAGAAAAAGAAGGTTGTGGTGGCTTCTCGGCCACAGCCAGCCACCCTGAGGGAGTAACTAGTTGGATCTGTGGGCTTGGGACCATGGTCACAGGGGACGTCAAGCTCAATTGGCATAACATACTACACAAAAACATTGTTCTACATCCTACTTTGGTGAGTAGCAACTGGGGTCTTAAAAGCTTGCAAGCAGCCATCTAGATGCAATGATGGGTCTCTCCTTGTCCAGAGCAAAGAAGAATGAAGAAAACCAAAGACGCATGGAAACAATTAGTCCAAGGGACTAGCAGACCATGCGATCCTAACCCTATATGACTATGAGACCCGAAGACCTAGAAGCTGCCCGGCTACCACTGTCAACCACTCGGAGGGGGATTGCTGCAGGAGATCCTGGATACAGTGGATGGGAGAACAGTGTGGAACAAAACTCAAAATCATAAAAAAAGAGACCAGATCTGCTGGTTTGATAAAGCCTGGTGAGAACCCCCAAAACTAGGGCCCCTAGTTACCCTTCAGTTCTGGAATTGAACTCACTCCTGTGGCTTCCAGCCAAACAACAGACAGGCATATAGGGTGAACATTTACATCAGGTAGATACACTCTTTGAAGTGATGAATGGTGGGAGAATAGAAGGGCAGTGTTTGCACAGGGAGATAGCCTGGGGGGAGTGGGAGTTCATGGGAGGGAAGGACACAGGGAAGAAGTAACTATGAGGATGAAGTGAGAAGAGAGCTGTTACACTGTGGGGAATTGCAGTCAATGTCATGAAACAAAATGTATATGAACTGCTGTATGGAAAATGAATTTGCTCTGTAAATTTTCACCCAAATCACAAAAAAAAATTTAAAAAAAAAGAAGAAGAAGATGATCTCAAATTAACAGCTAACCTGACAACATCAAGAACTAGAAAGACAAGAGCAAAGTAAACCTAAACCTACCCAGAGAAAGGAATAACAAAGATCAGAGCAGAAATAAGTAAAATTGGGAAGAGAAAAATACTAGAATCAATAAAATCAGAAGTTGGTTCTTTAAAAAAAAAAAAAAAAAAATCAATGAAATTGACAAACCTTTGAGTAGAATGACAATGAGAAAAGATGGAAATAACCAAAATGAAAAATGGAATAGGGGACATTACAACCGACCCAATACAAATATAGAGAATTATGATAAAATATTATGAACTACAAGGCAACACATTGGATAGCTTGATACCCAAACCAGACAAAGACATCAGAAGAAAGGAAAACTACAGGCCAATATCTCTTATGAATATAGATGGAAAAGTCCTCAACAAAATACTAGCAACTAGAACCCAAAGCACATCAAAGGAGTCACACGGCATGACCAAGTGTGATTTATTCCAGGAATGCAGGGAATCAGTCCACATCAATAAAACAAAGGAAAGAACCACATGATCATCTCTATGGATACAAAAAAAGCATTCGATAAAATCCAACACCATTTCTTGATGAAAACCCTAAAGAAGACTGAAATGAAGGGAAATTCCCCTGTATGATTCAGGGCATATATGAAAAGCCAGCAGCCAACATCACAATTAATGGAGAAGGACTGAGAATTTTCCTGTTGAAATCAGGAACAAGACAAGGGTGCCTGCTCTCACCACTTCTATTCAGTACTGTATTAGAAGTCCCAGCCAGAGCAGTAAGACAAGAAAAGAAATAAAAGGTATCCAGATTGAAAAAGAAGAAGTACAATTATTTCTATTTGCAGATGATATGATCCTATATATATAGAAAATCCCAGAGAATTTACAAGAAAACTTCTAGAGCTAATGAGGAGTTTAGTGAAGTTGCAGGGTACAAGGTTAACAAACAATATCAGCTGGGTTTTTATACACCAGCAATGAGAAATCTAAAAAGGACATGAAGAGCAATTCCATTTATAACAGCATCTAAGAGAATAAAATACCAAGGATTAAATCTAAGCAGGAATGTGAAGAGCTTATACAATGAAAACTATAAAACACTGCTGCAAGAGATCAAAGAAGACTCAAATAAACGGACAGATGTTCCATGTTCATAGACTAGAAGACTTAATATTGTTAAGATGTCAGTATCCCCAAAAAAATCTACAGATTCAATACAATCCCAATCACAATTACAACAGCCTTCTTTACAGAAATAGAAAAACCAATACTCAACTTTATATGGAATGGCAAGAGGCCTCAAATAGCTAAAACAGTACTGAAAGAGAACAAAGTTGGAGGACTTACACTTCCTGATTTGAAAGCATACAACACAGCTACAGTAATCAAAACAGCCTGGCACAGGTATAACAACAGACACAGAGACCAAAGGAATAGATTTGAGGGTACAGAAATGAACCCACACAGCTATGGTCAACTGATTGCTGATGAGGGTGCCAAGTCCATTCAATGGGGAAAGAAGAGTCTCCTCAATACATGGTGCTGGGAAACTGGATTTCCACCCACAGAAAAATGAAACTGGATCCATGCCTCACACCACACACCCAGACAACTTCAAAATGGATGAAGGACCTAAATGTGCAAACTAAATCCCTAAGATTCTTTGAAGAACAAGCAGGGATAATGCTGTCAGGACTGGCTTTCAACAATGGATTATCTAATATAGTAACAAAACCACAAACAGCAAAAGACTAAGTAAATGGGACCTCATAAGAATTTTTAAAATATTGTTCATCAGAAGACTTAATCAAAAAAGTTAAAAGACAAGCTACCTATTGGGAGAATATCTTCAGAAACCATACATCTGACAAGAATTTAACAACCAAAATACATGTAAAACTTCAACAATTTACCAACAAAAAGACAACCCAATCCTAAAATAAGCAAAGGACTTGAATCGATGTTTCACCAAAGAGCACATTCAAATGGCCCCCAAACACATAGAGAGACGCTCCGCATCAGTAGCCATCCAAAGCAAGAAGGCAACCCACTGCTGTCAAGTCGATCCTGCCTCATCACGACCCTTCAGGACAAAGCAGGGCTGCCCCACAGGGTTTCCGAGACTGCAAATCTTTATAGAAACAGACTGCCTCATCTTTCTCCATGGAACACCTGGTGGGTTCAAACTGCTGACCTTAAGGTTAGCGGCCAAATCTTTAACCACTACACCACCAGAGCTCTTTACAGAGATGCAAATCAAAACCACAATGAAATACCATTTAACTCCCACCAGGATGGCTAAGATTTAAAAAAAAAAAAAAAAAAACCAGTAAATAACAAATGCTGTTGAGGATGTGGGGAAACTATAACCCTTATCCACTGCTGGTGGGAATGCAAAATGGTACAGCCGCTGTGGAAAACAGTGTGGCAGTTCCTCAGAAAACTAAAAATAAAACTCCCATATGACCCAGTAATTCCACTCCTAGGCATATATCCAAAAGACTTGATAGCACGGAGGGGGATCTCTGTAGGAGATCCTGGATAGAGAGGGAGAACAACATGGAACAAAACTCAAAGTCATTTAGTAAAAAAAAAAAAGAAAAAAGGACCAGGTTTGATGGTCTGATAGAGCCTGGTAGAACCCCTGAGATTATGGTCCCTAGCTGCCCTTCAGGTCTGGAATTGAACCCACTCCTGTGGCTTCCAGCCAAACAAAAGCAGGCATAGGAACTGAACATTTACATTGTTGTTGTTGTTATGCGCTGTCGAGTCAGACCCGACTCATAGCGACCCCTCCTTGGGTTTCCGAGGCAGTATTACCACGGAAGTAGATTGCCCAACCTTCCTTCTGAGGAGTGACTGGTGGGTTTGAACCGCCAGCCTTCTGGTTAGCAGTCAAGTGCCTTAGGCACTACGCTATCAGAGCTCCTAACACTTACATTAGGTAGATACAATCCTTGGAGAGAACAATCATGGGAGAATAGAAGGGCTGTGTATGCACAGGGAGACAGCCCAGGGGGCAGGAGTGCATGGGAGGGAAGTACACAAGGAAGTGGTAACTATGGGGGGAAAGTGGGAAAAGAGCTGTTGCATTATGGGAAATTTCAATGTCATGAGACAAAGTACATATGAACGGCTGGATGGAAAATGAATTCACTCTGTAAACTTTCACCCAACTCACAATAAAAATTTAAAAAAAAAAAAGTCAATCTGGAATATTAATTGCAAAAAAAAAAAAGACTTGAGAGCAGAGGCTCAAGAAGAGACATACACATCAACGTTCACTGCAGCACTATTCACAGTAGCCAAAAGGTGGAAACAACCTATGTGCTCATCAACCAGCTGAATGAGAAACAAAACTGGTACATAAATCCAGTGGAACACTACTCAGCCAGGAGAACGCAGTCTTGACACATGCTCAGTACAGATGGAGCTGGAAGACGGTGTGCTGGCTGAAATAAGTCCATCACAAAATGACAAATGCCACATGACCTCACTTATATAAAAAGACAAGAAAGGTCAAATGGATAGAGACCAAAGTTGATTAGTACCAGAGGTAGGAGGGAAGGGGAAGGAGGGGGCATTATGATGATGGTAAAATTGCACTGATTAAGGATAGCGCTGCACAGCGATTATTATTATTGCTGCCCATAAGTTATGCATCTGTAAAATGTTGAACTGGCACAAGCTGTGTGACAGATACATTTACAACAATGATGAAAAATAAAGAGTAGCTGATGAGGCTGCTTATGTACAGTCAAACAGCTCATAGGATTTGGTTCCTTGGTTTGGAGGTTAAGGTCATGGCTTCATGGGACATCCCAGGATACTGGCCTAATAACATGTTCAGTGCTTCTATTCTACCTCCTAGTTCACTGTGTAGTGCCTGTGGTCTTAAAAGCTTGCAAGCAGCCATCTAAAACATAACACCTGGCTTCTATTTTATTCACAATAGAGGTAGGAACATCAGGAATAGGAGGAGGATATGGAATCTGAGGCTAATTGCCTCCATGAACAACTGCCTCCTTTGCCATGAGACCAGAAGAACTGGACAGTGCCCAGCTACAATTACTGAACATTTGGATCAAACATTCCATAGAAGAATCCTGATCACAAGGGGGAAAATTCAAAACAGAATTTCAAATTCCATGGATTCCACACTCTCTAGAGCCATAAAGAGTGGATGAACTACTGCTCTGAGACCATCTTTAAACCTTAAACCAAAAATGTCTCCTGAAGTCTTCTTAAAACCAAACAACAGTTTAGCTTAACTTGTGAAAAAGGTTTGCGTTGAATATTATGCTTTTTGAAGAACTAACTCTATGGGATCAAACTGACAACAGCAACTGAAAAGATGAGATAGGAAACTGAGAGGACTGGATTTTACATAAATCGGGGAGGAACAGTTTGGAAAAGGAGGGTGACAGTGGTTGCACAACTCGAAGACTGGGCTCCACGGCATGAAGGGTCCATGCAGAAACCATTCACTGGTATGTGATTTGTCATGCACATTCTCAACAACAACAAGATAAACAAAATTAGGGGAAAACACAGACCATCAGAGCTCAGACTCTTAGCCAGAAGACAACTAGAGAAAACCCAATTTCTCAGCAGGCCGACGGGCTGTGATCCATGGGCCATTCTCTGGTTTAGTCAGAAACTGACTTTTGATAACTGGAGAGATGACTACTGGGGGGCAGTGAGTTTGGGGGCACTAAGCAGAGTGCCCCCCAACACCATTCTCAGGACCCACATCCTCCACTGAGAACAAGCAGGCAGAAAGGGGCTGGGCTCCTGGGGCGTCTGCGGCAAGCACCCTAGCCACTGCCAAGCCACTAGTCAACTCAGCCGCGTTGTGACCTACTAACCAAAGCACAAAGGCCCCAGGAGTCACCTCACACTCCAAAGAGTGCAAAAGAACGTTGCTCACCTGCCCTGGATAAAGACCGACTGTTGCACTCGCTGGGAACAGAAACATGTTAATAAATTCAATCAGGATGCTCGGGGCGACTCTGGAGGTTGCAGCAGAATAGCCCAGCCACTTGTAGATGATCATGAATATGAGGTACCCAAAGATGCAGAGCATGAAAAGCAGCTCCGGGACGGAAACCAGGTAAACGTTGAACTTCTTCCTGAAATGCCTAGGGGAAAAAACAGTAGTCAGGCAACCCACAGGCAGCACTGGGCGAAGAGAAAAGGGCAAATTAATCCTAAATTCTCTGTGAGCAAAAATCCACCCAACTTCAGTCATCTGTCCTGTGCTGACTAATACTGGTGTTTCAGAGACAGGCATAGTGACAACACGTGTGAGGACAGCAGCATCAGGTCTAGTTAAGCAGGCCTGGTGCCGCAACAGTTCAGCACTCAGCTGCCAAAAGAAAGGTTGGTGGCTCGAACCCACCCAGCAGTTCTGAGGTAGAAACACCTGGCAATCTGCTTCCATCAAGAATACAGCCCAACCTTGGGGCCACAGTCGCAGGGGACATCAGGCTCCACTGAAATAACATACTA